GAGCAATGCCGACAGTGAAAGAGAGGATGATCCTTTCAATGTAGACGAACAAGACCAAAGCTTGGATGAGGTTAACAATTTGAACATAACGCCGTAAATTGACTTTTTAATTTTTTCGCTTATTTCGACTGATAACTCTCAAAGTCTCTCATCGTTTCCTGATTTGATACATTCTCCTCGTTCATGATTTTCATTATCGGCAATAATCGCTTGTTAATACATATCAGTATCGGGTTCATTCGAGCCCAAAAACACACGAAGCAAAAGTAAGAGATTTTTTTCGAATCAGTTCATTGATGTGCAATGATAATAATCATTCAATATGCTGCACTCATTTCCTGCTTCATTTATTATCTAGTCTCTTGTACGAATTTAAGAAATTGAATCTGCTTTTTGCTTTTATAAAAGCAGCTTCCAACGTCTCCTCTGAGATAGTTCACGATGCTTTGACAACCTAATAAGCCGCGGCCAGCAAATTGGCTGGATTTCCGAAGTCCACTTCTGCTGCGCTTGTTTTAATGTTGCAGCATCTTCTTCTTAACAGTTTTTAAGATCTTCCGTCAAATCATTTTAGGAAAGGGTGTCTTTCATGAGCATAAATTGTAACACTTCTTCAGTGCAGCGATGATTCAATAATGATGTAACATTTGAAGGAGAAATGAAGCCCCCTATTCTGTCTTACCCATACGGTTTATAATGACCATGTGTATTATTTCGAACAAGAACCACCATTCGTCCGTTCGACGGCTAATGAATGGTAAAGAAAACTTCTCTAAACCATTAGTATTACACGGCAACGTCGACCCATGCATTTTTTTGATGAAAAAATGGCAATGATCATTCCCACCCAGATATGCAAGCCGGCGCGTTGGCTTTCCCGATCATTGCTACAGGAACGGCTCAGTCCCGGTCGCGTTGCAGCAAAATGAGCGTAACTCTCTCTTTGGAAGTTTTTCTTGCCTCGAGCAGTAGTAAAATATTCAGAAGTCGACAAAACAAAATACAGAAAAAGCAAGCAGAAATAGACTTGTATAAATCTCTTGAAGTATTTCCGATGCTTCTAAAGTCTGAGGGCTATTCTTATCGACATTACCATCTTCGCCGCGTAGAAGGGTGGAATGCAAGATTCTTCTACGAAGACTGTGGTACCAGCCTCTACTCGCTAAGAATTTCTTGCAATCATATTGCATTTCTGCTATCCGCAATTTGATTTGCTTAAGCTATTACCATCGAATGCGACAGCTGAAAAGATAGTCTTCAGAAACCTTCAATAAGCTTGTATAGTTTGTCTTTTTGATGCTGAGCCTAAGGTTTTCCAATCCGAATTTTCTTCTCTTTCCTTGCTAGTTTCATGTTAAGTGCTCAAGATTTAAATTTTTCTACTGCAGCCAAAATATCACGAATAGTAATGTCATTAACACCATACTCTCTCGTGAAAATATGCATGATGGCTTTTACCGGCTGGCAACTCTAAGTTCTCAATTGTTTCAGGGTGTTGGGCCTTGCTGAGAAGTTGCCCTTCTTATCTCTTCTTCTTCTAAACGCCGCGATGATTTGCAGACATTTCTCTGCTCAATGAAGATTTCAAATTGTGAAAAGATGAATGAGGACCGCAATGCGCTAAGTCCGGAAATCTCGGATAAATCCGCACTCGGCAGCCAACTTGGTGCGGACTTAGTAAAATGATCACTGAATTGTGCAGTTCACCATAATTGAGTGATCCCTCCTCGTTACAACATCCGTTTTTAAACTGCTCCCATGAGCCACTCGGTCGCGACTGCTGAGAATGAGCAAAGTTTCCAAAGGCATCTTTAGCTGAAATATCATCGTCTTATGATCAGGTATCCGTTCGTGAACATCTTGTGCCTTACCCATTACGTAGTTCCGCGAACATATCTGAGATAGGACCACTTTCAGAATAGAACGCGCTTTTGAGCTCTCGGAAATAAACATGCTATCACATCGGCAAAAGATCACGAGAGCTAGCAGCGTGAGTCAGCATCCACCAGCTCTGCTATACAAGCAAGGTAAAGCCCATTTCCTTGAAAAGATTTATTATATCCAGAAATTGGTAGAGTGGATTATTCACTGGCATCTTGGGAGCTCATGAAGTCACTTAGGCGATATTGCTTAGACATCGTTGACACTTACTTACGCCTTGACACAAACCGTCCCTTCACCTCTCTTGGATAGAAGGGGGTCGTACTGTCCAACGCGCTCCCCACAAATGATTGTGGATAGACCATGTTCCAAGTCCAGAAAAATGCTGGTTGCTGAGCCAGTAAACATATGGGTATGAGAAGAGCTGCTGGCCGCATAATCTCGAGGTAAGGCCGAGTACCTACCCCGATGTCGACGTCGCTCTATGTTTATCGAAAAAAATCGAGCATTAATCGATGCTCTAGTCAAACGTATGCTTCACCAAAACCGCTTTTAAGTCGCAAAATGATGTCTTCCTCATCTAGCTCTCGAATTAAGCCATATACTCTTCTCCACTGTCGCCAGACCATATCCTTCATGCAACACTGGTTGTCTTAATTGCCCCTGCTCGACCCGTTCGCGATTCTCCCTGAAAGTTGGATATACAGACCAAGAGAATCCCGCAGAGCGATTTCCAGGCGTACACATTGCTCTCCGACTAAGGTGCAGGCCCACCACACACTCATAATTGCTAAAACGATCAGCCGCGGAACAACGATTGGTTTTAAACTGACCATTTCTATAACATGATAATCACTACGTTATATGGTTGTGAGTGACCTTGCTCTGGGTCGCTGTGACTCTTGCGCATGCAGACGACCACGCGCACTTATCGAGCCTTGACTAACACATTGATCATGAGTTGGGGTCACTGTGGGAATTGATCAATGTATGCACAACTCATGCAAGGATAGGTCTAAACGTAGGAAACGACGCGTCGGAGAGGTCTCGTATGCGAAAAACAGAATAATCTTGTAGTCTGCCTACAATACGCAGCTGAATTATCGAAACTCAGTAAATAACGTATACTGTCTTCACCTGATGTAGCTTACCTTCCTGACTTAACTAGACCTTCAAAACGTCAATCGCAGGGATATACATCTTATTTATGTATGGCTTGTCAAGCGATAGGGATGAAGAAGCGGGGAGTCCTCCGGCCCGGGAGGTGCTTTCAGTGAGAGTGCGCAGTCTTAGAATGAGACGAATTTGCGTGCCCCGGTGAACTATTTTGAGTCAGGGTAAGTGTCGTGGTGTATGCACATCTCATTGTTAACCCTTCAATCTAAGCAAAGCTCGAGAGTGCAATGATAAAGTCTGTGATAAGGTATCACGTTAATGACAAGGGCACATCAAAAGGATTCTTCTGGACAGGTGGGCTGCAGGCCATTCAAATGCATTGTTGAAGGCTTGCAATCATAATGGTAAAACTTATAATTATGCCACTATTCTATAGGTTGTTCTTGTCTCTAAAGAAACCTCTTTTGGTCTTAGCAAGTGAAACACTTCTGTTGGGATGAGGTCAGAGACAGTTGTTGGAAGCCCATTTTGTTTGCGTTGGTTGAACCGACCATAAAAGTCAACGCTTCGGTGCGCAGCACAAAAATGATAGGTTTATACCTCCTGTTTCATTCTCACAGAGGGTACCTAGTTTCGCAACTCAGTCGTCGGATCAACGATCAGTGTTTCCGAGTTCAAGTGAGTTATCGTCTCGCTCCGCACATATTTTATAGTGCCCGCGTTGATGCAAACATGATTAGTATAAATGCCCTAACTAGCACGCTGATAACTTCTTTATACAGCTACTAACGGATTTTTACGAA